GAGAGAGAGAGAGAGAGAGAGAGAGAGAGAGAGAGCTTGAGGCTTAAGCCTCAAAAATTTAAGTTATGTTGATAAAATAAACCACCTTTGTAATTCAGTGAACCTCGTGTTCGAGTCGTAAGACATGTGAGCGATAAGGTGTCAAGTACATTTAATGTCAATATTTCTTTTGTTACCTGACACAAAATTCTAATGAACTTTTTGTGACAGTTTGTTTGCATTTATAAAATCATAAGTTTTTAGTAATTTTATTTGGTATATAAGGCGTAATGTTTTCAAAAACAAAATCATATTACAAATCATATTACTTATTAACGATTAATAATTACATTAAAAGTTTATATTAACTACTATATTATTATCAAATAATTATACGAGTAACAATGAAAGTCTTATTACTTCTATCAGTACTGTATGTAACAGTGAATGCCTTACCGTTTGGCGATGAGTTTGTACCGGGTGTTGACAACAGTAACAAATGGGTGGTATTGTGCTCCGGAAGTAATGGCTGGGGAAATTATGGTGACCAGGTATGTAGCAAACAATTATTTTAGTGATTATTTAAATATTAACCAAATATTAACTTGCAAAATAGGCAATAGTCTACAGGGCGTACCACTTATTCCGATCCTATGGCATACCGGAAGACCATATAATTGTGTTTCATTACGACGATATCGCTTATAACAGCCAAAACCCCACACCCGGTGTTGTCATCAATGAGATCGGAGGTCCCAATGTCTATAAGGGTGTCCCTAAAGATTATACCGGAGAGGATGTCAACCCTAAAGTATATTTAATAATTTTAAACATAAGTATAAAACTATTTTAATATAATATTTTATTATAATTATAATTTCAGACCTTTTTGAAAGTAATCCAAGGTGACAAAGAGTTGGCTAACCAGGGTAAAAAGGTTGTCAACAGCGGACCTAATGATCACGTGTTTCTATATTTTGGAGACCATGGTTCACCTAGTATGTTACGATATATTTATTTTAAAAACAAAATTAGTTTAATAATATCTATAATTTTATAATTAATATAGACATGGTCATTTTCTCAAACGGTGTACTACATGCTGATGAATTAAATAATGCATTCGTATCAATGTATAAGAATAATAGGTTCGCCAAACTGTCCATTTATGTCGACACGTGTTACTCGGGGTCAATGTTCAACAAAATCTTGCCTGATAACATTAATGTCTATGCCACATCATCATCCAATTATACCGAGCTCAGTTGGTTCTGGAATTACGATGATAAATTGCATACTTATATAAGTAAGAAAAACAATATATGATAAAACTATTCATAAAATATTTAATTATATGTATATTTATCAGGCTCATTCTTTGCAAACAATTGGCTTGTAAATGATGAGGAAAATGACCTGGATAAGGAAACTCTTCAAAAGCAATTTGAATACTTTAAGCAGCACTCAGTTGTGAATTATACCCAGTATCATACGACACACCCTATACACGCCCAACAGTATGGTGACCTATCAATCAGTAAACTGACCGTGTCACAATTTTTGGGTAAGGAGTAATCATAAATTACTGTATAGTGTGTTAGTATTAAAATAACTTATGTCTTTTATATCCAGGTCATAAACCTAAGGGACAGACTAATACAGTGACCAAATGGGAGCAAAATAATGAAGCGGTCAACAAATGGGACGTTTCGCTGGATTTACTTCTCAGACGTATTGATGAAACGGAGGATATCGATGAGAAAAATGGGTAAATATTTTAAAATTTAGAAATTGTTGTTATATACATAGTATAAGATTTAATTTTTAATGTATTTTTTAGTTATTTGCGAGAATTGGAAAACCTATACAAAGGTAGACAGTATGTGGACAAACATATGACTGAATACTTGAATAGTATTCAACACTTAATGCCAAACATCGCAACCAATGCTATACTCCATACGAAACAAGAGCTCAATAATAGACACTGTTATCGACAACTAGTGGACACCTTCCATGAAAATTGCTTTGATTTGACCAAGGTAATCACAATCACCAAATAATAATTATTACAAATGATTAATTTTATTACAATTTATTTGTTTCAGAATTCCTATACATTGAGAAAAATGGATATTTTTGTCAATATATGCGAGCATTTAGGGCACGACTCCAATGGTGTGAATACAGCGGTCGACCATTTGCTGCAATACTGTCGACACAATATTCAACCAGAATTTGCCACAAATATTGTTTAATTTGAATAACATTTTTGTTACATTTGCTGTTTTTATTATCAATTAAGTTTATTTTTTTATTTTGTCTTTTATTCATGTACTTTACAATGATATTATAATAAATAAAGCTTTTATAAATAAAAATGAACTATTTTAATTAAACTTTTATTAACATCTAAAGTAAAATAAACATTATCGGTAAAAATGCAAATTAATATTATTAGACAAAATTATTTATAATATGCTGTTATTATAAACTCTACAATTAATATCAGAAAAGAAATACAAAATGAATTGCATAATGAGAACAATAATACCAAGATCAAGCCAAAACTAATTTTTGAATCATCTTTAGGTTCAATATGTGTCTGATTTCTATACTCGTCATACAGTCTGTTGCCATCCATAATGATTGCCAGCCTATTTATATCCTCCATTTCCACGTTAATACCCGACTCCACCATAATTTTGAGCCTGAACAAAATATTTATCATATTCTTTACTAAAATAACAATATAGTAATTATATGCTGTAAACAGAATCAATATATTTTGTTTAAAATTAATTTAGTATCATGCAATTAATGTATCAGGTTCTTTTATGGATAATCTTTTATAACATTTCATTTGTCTCTATAATCATGAATAAAATTAATATTTTACATTTTCAGCAGTATTTCCCTCGGTTTAGTGTATTTCCGGTTAACTGGAAACGCTATTAATGTGGGCAAATCCATGTGCCTGGCAATGCCTAAATCAAACTCCCGGTTCAGATACTTTCGGGCAAAAATTGCCTCCAAATAACTCATATAAACATATTTTCTTTGCGCCACCTCTTGGAGAATGTCCTAAAAATTAATATTAAATATACGCATCATCAATTAATTAAAATTTCATTTACTTAACATGTGCTAGCTCACCTTTTGTGACTTAGGATCATTTTCCCGAGGCACATATTTAATTCTATTGGTTCGCCTTAATATGTCTAAACTGGTAACCAGTGCCCTACCGCAGCAATCATGAAGTTCATACTGAAACCAAATATATGACGCGTTAGGTATGGCCACTCTATAATCCGACTTAACCAACTGGTCCATTGAGTCGACCCATACGGTCTCCCTGTCCATTACGGCCGACAATATACCAGAACTGAATAAATTGGTTAAGACGAGTGCAGCCATAGACCAGACTGGGATCACGTATGATATCCGGGACTCTGATTTCACTTGATTTATGAGGTAAGCGCTCATCTCAAACATTACGAGACAAATATTTTTGTTTTGACCTGGCCATAATGATTTTTTAATTTTTCAAATTATATTCAATTACTAGTGTTTTTACTAGACTATTTATCTGTATTGTATCCCCAAAAGGTTTATATCATTTGTGTAAATGTAATGAATTTGAGCAATGCAAATGATATAAACTTTACATGGGCTATAGCATAGATCAGTGAGATAGGGTTTATTAAAAATACCTTGTAGTTTGTGTTCAATATAATGTCCAATAGTTACCATTAAGATACTGATGGCTACGAGTGCCCAATGATTGGTGAATAGACATTGAGCATAGTGACTATATTAGGCTTGTTGGTGTACTTAGCGCTAAGAATGACCATGTTATATTTACCATCTTTAAACCATTGACCATTTGCAAACTTTAGAAATAAATCAGTAATAGCCCATCTGGCCAGGACCATATCTACTTTCTAATATACAGCATAATTGTATATAATAACATAATTATTTTAGTAGAATTGTTGTGTGTTTTGTATTATTTTATGAAAACATTTACTAGTAATTACCGGGTTTTGTATTATATAATCATCGGCTTCAAAGGACTCAGGATATGCTTTCAAAGTGATATTGAATTTAGCAAATACCCCGCTAATTAGTGCGGTGACAACTCGGCCGTCAAATAGACATAAATGCTAAACAAACAAATAAAGTAAATTATTTATGAATTTATATCGATTTGATAAATTAAGCATGATTAAATCATACATCACTATAGGAGGCTATGGTGAGTGAAAGATGACTAAAAGGATCACCCAAATGATTATCGCCATGACGATATACAGTACATTTTTTTAGGTACTGAGCCATTGATGTTTAATGTTTTGAGTTTCAAAATGAGATATTTTATTTTTAAATATACTGACATCAAAATAATAAATTCATATATTCTAAGTAACAAAGTATAACTTATACTGTATAAGTATATTTATTATAAGATATTACAAAAATTAATATATAAAATATTGCACTTATTGTACAACTTAATTGCTTAATTGAAACTGTTTACATAAAAGGCGTTTTAACAAAAATATGCTAATTAAATATTTTACAATCACAAAGTAGGATAATTAAAATAATAGTATACCCTGAATCGATTATTTTGTACTATGAAATTAATTTTGGATTGCTGGCAATATTTGTACTGTACTCATATATGAGTCGACCGAAACCATTAAACGTTTTTGCTAAATAGCGTTTACTGTATATAAAATATTTGTTAAACTTTAATCGAACTTTTATAGTGAATATGTGTAGACATATAACCAAATCAGACTTTTTAGAAAATAGCATTTACTGTATATTATACTTTTAGTAAACTTCTGAGTGTGTATATTCATTATAAAAGTTTACTAAAAGTATAATATACAGTAAATGCTATTTTCCAAAAAGTCTCATTTGGTTATATGCCTACACATATGCACAATCATTTCATATAAAACTTTAATACAAGTATGATAGAAGTTTAATAAATATTTTATATACAGTAAACGCTATTTAGCAAAAACGTTTAATTGGTTTTAGGTCTACGCATATTGTTAATCACAATTTGCGATATAATATTGATGTAATTCATATCAATTTCTTATAAAAAGTAATGTAAAAGGGTTAACAATATATACTAATTATATGAATTTATACTAAATCCTTATATTATATATCAAGATGTGAGTTATTCAAAAAAAACTGAAACTAAAAAAACTAAAGAAAACTAAAAAAACATGATTTTATAAAATAATTATTTCATTAACAAATAATTTTAAAAACAACGTGTGTGTGTGTGTGAGCTTAAAGAATGCGACATAACATTGATAAAATATCACCTTTATAATTCAGTGAACCTCGTGCTTGAGTGGTTAAACATGTGAATGATAAGGTGTCAAGTACATTTCATGTCAATAATTCTTTTGTTACCTGACACAAAATTCTAATGAACTTTCTGAGACAGTTTGTTTGCAGTTACAAAATCATAAGACTTTTAGTAATTTTATTTTGTATATAAGGCAGCACAATTTTCAAAAACAGTCATATTACAAATCATATTAACTACTAACAATTAATAATTACATTAAAGTTTATGTTAATTATATTATATTATTATTAAATAATTATAACAATGAAAATCTTATTACTTCTATCAGTACTGTATGTATCAGTGAATGCCTTACCGTTTGGCGATCAGTTGGTACCGGGTGTTGACAACAGTAACAAATGGGTGGTATTGTGTTCCGGTAACAAAGGCTGGATGAATTACGGCGACCAGGTATATAGATAACAATTAATTATTATAAAAAATAATAAAGTATTGACCAAATATTAACTTTCAAAATAGGCAATAGTCTACAGGGCGTACCACTTATTCCGATCGTATGGCATACCGGAAGACCATATAATTGTGTTTCATTACGACGATATCGCTTATAATAGCGAAAACCCCACACCCGGTGTTGTCATCAATGAGATCGGAGGTCCCGATGTCTATAAGGGGGTCCCTAAAGATTATACAGGAGAGGACGTCAACCCTAAGGTAATTTTTAAAATAAATACCAAGCTGTAAAAATAATTTATTATTTAATAATTATAATTACAGAACTTTTTAAAAGTAATCCAAGGAGACAAAGAACTAGCTAACCAGGGTAAAAAGGTTGTCAAAAGTGGACCTAATGATCACGTGTTTCTATATTTTGGAGACCATGGTTCACCTAGTATGTTACGATATATTTATTTTACCAACAAAATTAGTTTTATAATATCTATAATTTTATAATTAATATAGACATGGTCATTTTCTCAAACGGTGTATTACATGCCAATGAATTAAACAATGCATTCATATCAATGCATAAGAATAATAGGTTCGCCAAACTGTCCATTTATGTCGACACGT